ACTGCTTTGTTGATCTAATACTGCTTTGTTGATCTAATACTGCTTTGTTGATCTAATACTGCTTTGTTGATCTATTACTGCTTTGTTGTGTTCATGACTGCGATAATCACTCTCATCTTCAACTGTCAGTTCAAAGCTTAAATATGTGATATTTATGTATTCACAGATGTTGATTCACCACATTATCTCCTTTTTTGATTGCCTACATCGAACCGGTGGGGCGACCACACATTAAAATCATTAAGAACACTGATCATTAAAGATCCAATGAACACTACTTTATGTTAGGAGCCCATAAGTAATGGCTCTTGTTTATGTAGTAAAACGCATTTCGAAAACTTGAGCGGACGTTATCATCAACTCGAGTTCGTTCCTCAAACAAGGGGAAAATTAATATGACATTTTCAGAACAGTTGAAAAGTTGGATTTTGTGAGCGTAATTAAACACAAGAGGTCATCTTTCGTCATCAACAGCCATTGTGAAATTTCAAAGACAAACATCCTTTACTCTTCTTATCTCTTGTTTCCTAAAGTTAAAAGACGCAATTTGGGCTTATTATGGAAGAAGAATCAAGACATCTTTTTGGAATTATCAAACTGGCCATTTTCTCGAATGTAACAGGTAGGACTCAGAATTGAATCTTGAATAGTTTTGAAGAAACAATGGAAATGAAAATCGCCGTATATTTTGATTCGAAGTCTCACCAAATAATGAGCTACTCATAGATGAAATAAGACGTTAAGTCTAACGCTTAGTGATTGAATAAGAGGAACTGTTATGTTATTTTTTTGACGTGGGCGATGGATTAAGGAAAATCTGGCTCCCTACGAGAGTTTGAACCTTAGACCTTAGGGGGCGAATTCACCCACCAGGCTCTGTAATGTTCAAATTTCCATAGTCTCCCTTTAGACCTTGTTGACGACGACTGATCCCCCCTCCTCTTCCCCTGAAAACCATGTGATCCTCCACCAAAATCTTCTGAAACTCCCCTAGGTAAAAAAAGATGACTTGTCCCTTTTGGTTTTGTGATTGGATAATTTACAATTGAGCTATACATTGTACAGAGACATTGCTGGAGGGCTTTGCTTAAACTCAAATTACATGAGGAACTGCTACAACTCATGGCTGAGTAAGGGTGGTCATTTACATATAGAGTAAAGTATCATCATCCACTTTTTGATATTTGATCTATTCATTGATTGATAAATTTTTGTTTTCATTCACAGCTCAAAATCTCTCACTTTTCCCAACCGATTAGCCTTGGTAAGCCTTCAGCTGGATTTTTTTCCCTTTCATGCAATCGTAGTTATACTTTAACCAAACGAAATCTACAATGCAGTAGTTACATTACTACATGGCAGCCACTAAACGTAGCCTATTAGTATAGGTCACCAATCACCATTGAGTGAGATATTACACACACTTTCTTCGATCGGTCTTCATCAAACATGTTTACATACTCCCGGTTAGCTCGATTGGTTAGAGCGTTGGATTGTGTTGTGCGGGAGGTCGAGGGTTCGAGCCCCGGCTGGACTAATACTCATGGTATTAAAATAAGTGAGAGCAATTTGCTACCTTTCTATAATATCAAGAAATGGATAGATATTCTAGTCTTCTCGGATAAGGACGAATAAACCGTAGGCCTTAAAGAAATCCTGGCATAGATGGTCTTCCTTGTGCCGGAGTTTCAATTCTCGAACAGTTCATTGCGATTATTGCAATAGTAAATTACATGGCTTACACATTCCTTTTTCGGTAACGTTCTGCGGAAGATTTCTCATGGCCATGGGAACACTATGAGAAAAGGGGCCATGATATCTTAAACCTCAGTTTAGCAAAAGTTACTTCTTTTCGGTCGCCTAAAGGCCTTGATTGCGAGAAATTATCGAGAAAACTGAGGAAGTTTTTATTTTTATACTCTTATTTTTTGCAAAAGCATTTTGCTTTTATATTTTAGGCAATTTACCATAATTTTCTCAGGCTTTGTTAGTTAAGGGTAACTTTTTTTCAAAATTGTTCTGTTTTAATTGTTTTCAATCTTATTTCAATATGGTTTTTAATTCAGATGTTTGACATTATTTTTCTGGCAACTGAGAAGATAATCCTAAGCATTTTTCCATACATGTATGACACCCCTAAAGCTCAGTTTTAAGAGATTTGGAAACTTTTTTTATGAGTAGTGTATGCTCAAGTCATCTTCAATAACATGGAATAGACATGTTTGACTATAATTAGAGAGAACTGATATTTTTAAATTAGAGGAGCAATTTAGTCTTAATTTGATACCTTATCACCCTCATACGGGTCAGCAAGAATAACACAAACCACCTTGAGAAGAAAACAAGAGTGGCGTAAACTGTAGTATCATATCTTAAAGTGTACAAGGGCAATTACCATGATTGACAAAATATATTTTAAAATCGAGTTTGCTTCTGAGCAAACAATCGAATTAACCGGCGACATTTTGTAATAAATTTCTTTTATACACGTTGCAGTTTCTGCTGTTTTTATCAAAATATTTGCGTTTTGTTTACACCTCAGTGATAACAAACGAAATATTGAGCATACATTTAATTTGATAAAAATTTCAATTATCAGTATGATGGCTTGAACTGTTTTTAAACTTAACTAAAGGTTAGGTCTGATGCTCCCCTTAGATAAGTTGACGATTATTCCAGCTTTGTAAGCGAAACATTTTGGCTTGTGGTTTTTTTTTATGCAAACTCTATGGTTTACGCCTGACGATTTGCTTCAAATTTTCCATAGATTCGAGGTTATAAGTATTTTCATGTGGGAGCGAACAGTTATGGCAATGGGATGTTTTCCCTTCGTACAACCCATTGCAAACTTACATTGTTCTACTGGGAACCTTTTCATATATCCTTTGGCTACCAAAGCACCTCAAGAAAGCTAAAAATTGCTCACCTTTAAAATCATGTAACACTGAAAATTCTAAAAAAAAATCCCTACTCTATATACTGTTAATTATAATAAAAAAAAGTGCCTCTCTAAATACAAAAAAGTGACATATGCTTGTTTTTTATTCCCTTTCTTGTCGTCCCTGATAACTTGCAGGTTTTGAAGGCTGTTGCAGTCAATATGTCGTTTCTGATAAATTATTTTCGATTGCCAAGAGAGATGTAGAAATATCAGCGATGATAAATAAGTCGTGTTAAATCTCCGTTCGCTTCTTGACAGATAACATCTGGGCAGATTTTTAACTGTCTTGATCATGACCTTCAAAGATTGCAAGGGATAAATATGAACATGCGATCAGGAATTCGAGATAACTAAGTGATAAGTTATGACAGCCGTCGGGGCAATAGGGGACTATTAAACGCAAGGCTATATTTTTCCAGTTCCTCTTCTCTGACTTAAAAGAAAGGCTCCAAAGAACAGTGTGTTCTTCCGAGGGAGATAAAAAAGGCTCAAAATCCCAATAACTACCGGTAGTCTGACTGAAGACTTGATTGGACAAAAGATACGATTATAGGTCAATAGAGGAGGTTATCTCTTGCTTTTTACGACTCCGTAAAAACTGATAGATTTCAATTATGTTTGAGAGACTCCTTCGTCAGTTTCGGAACTAGGTCATGAATCAACCACTAATTGGTATTTATGGATGAATTGCAAAACCATCGTTGAAAGTTTTACCAACAAGTGCACATCACCGTCAATGTTTTCGCTCATTGTTGAATTATTTTAAAAACACTTTTCCAGTAACACTGTCGAAACTGTTGAGTACGCAGTTAAAGATTTACAATGTCCATAAAGACATCTCTAATAACTGTATTATCTAATTGGGAGATAGAACAGTCAAATGCAAAATGTAAGAGCATTACTGATTATCGAGCGCCATTTGCCTTGACCTTCGCTATATTCACTGACCTGACCACGTTTATGTGATAATGACTCATAATTTGAATCTATAAGAGAAAGATAAATTCGCTAACAGAAGATATTAGTCCAAAGTTTAGCCTTTTCATTGCTTGGCTCGAACCTAATCGAAAGGAAACTGCAGTTGTAGTTTCCCATGCACTTTTTCACCACATGTGGCGAACTTATTGAGATTCTGATCATTAACTTGACGAAATAGTTATTAGAGACTTACATCCAATCTGTTGTTTAAACCCCTGTCAGCCATAATTACGAAGGTTTCCTTGCATATTTTGTCAGAACAGTGTGAGATATGAACACTAATATTAGTCTTTATGCATAGTTACAAAATGACGAAAGGTGGTTTAGGAATTTTCTTTTCGCATTACAGCTTGGTATGCTACCAACAACCAACTGACTGAAGGTGCATTAAGAGGAGAGGTTCTTTCACCTTTAGATAGTTTATCAGTGAATTGAAATATCAGTTTAGATTGTAGAGTTGTTCATTGACAATCGTAGGGTGTTATTCCATCTGCAGTCATATATATTTGTCTTTGTTTCTGCGAGTATGTTTTTGATTTACATCTAATTTAATATCATTTTTTAGGATTCCACCAAGAGAAAGTAAAAGGTCCTATTATTTTCTCATGATACCAGCTGAATTCAAGTCTTTCTTTCGAAGATATAAGGTGTAAAATACCTAGAAGTTATTTAATCTCTATAGCACCAACAAGGGTACATTCATAGCTGTGTTTCTTATGAAAACAGAAACTACAATCGACATTTCTCAACTGTGATCCCGGCTACGTGCAAGAATTAAGGCGGTCTTGTTTCCAGCTAAACGTTTAGTGATATGCCTCAGCAAGAACTCTTAAGGCTCGTGCAGTTATGTTTAAGTTTCCTGTCTTACATAATTCATTCCTGAGACATTTAAAGACTCGTTACATCACCTGGAACACAGATGCCTTAACTGACCATAAATATGTGCTGCCACATGAAACGCATTTACGCTTCTTCACGTATTCAACTTGAGGATTGAATTTCAATTATTCTCGGCATCAGCAAAGTGGGTAACATGTTTCTACCATACCTCGAACTAGGAAGGACGCAGTCATCTGGACTGTTAGTAGTGAATCAGATGGTAGAACAATGTCAAATTTACATCGCCGCCTCATTTGTTTTCAAGAACGTGTTTTAAACACGAAACTCTCATATATGAGCAGTGTGCAATGCGTGCAGAATTGAACCGAATGAGCAATCACTCCCAGATACGTTAGGTTAGAGAAGTAATCAAAAACAAACTGAAAGGAACCAACAAAACAAGCTTAGTGAAGTGAAAATATTTAAAACCGCGGCGTGATTTACTTGGGCCAACAAATTTAAAGCAAATAAAAAGAAACTGACATCCTTAATTTTATCTTCACGTACGTTGTTTATTGTATTTTTAACGCAGAAGTTACATGGAAAACGATATTTAAATCAAGAACACAACATGTCTAACTGGCGTTCATCATTGTATACGGTAATTTGGTTATATCAATTGAGTTGAAATTGTAAATTGGCCACCGTCAAGGGTTAAAAAGCTGACGTTTCGAGCGTTAGCCCTTAATCAGAGCGAATGTAGGAATTGTGGGTTGTGTGTGGGTTTACATGCAGAAAGTGGAGCTACGCTATTGGTGGGAACATGGCGACGAGAAAACACGAATAAATAAGTAGAATGAAAAGCGTTCGTTGATGCCTGTGGGATTAAGAGTGCCGATTAGAAAGATAAACCTTTGTTCAAGAGTTTTGGGGATTTCCGAGCTACCTAAATGTAAGGTATTGATTGCCATATGTTGCCATATGGCAACAGATTGCCATATGTTGCTTAGAATGATTAGGTAGATTAAAAAGTCTGGCGACTGGTTTTGATACTTCCTTGTCGTTCCTTTCTACGTCGCGAAGGTGTTCTCGGAATCGGTCACCAAGTCGTCTTCCTGTTTCGCCGATGTATAACTTTTTGCACTTATTGCAGAGAGCCGCAAAACTCTTGAACAAAAGTCTTAATCCCACAGGTATCAACGAACGCTTTTGATTCTACTAATTTATTCGTGTTTTTTATCGTCGCCATGGGAGTCCCACCAAAAGAGTTGCTCCACTTTCTGCATATAAACCCACACACAACCCACAATTCCTCCATTCGCTCTGACGAAGGGCTAACGCTCGAAATGTCAGCTTTTTAACCCTTTACGGTGACCAATTTACAATTTCAACTCAGTTAATATTACCAAATTACGTTGTTACCCCCACCGACGCAGCACCACAGTTTCTTTAGAAACTTACCCCCTTTAATCATTGTATGCGCCCGTATCAGGGGCTAGATGATTCTATTGGCTAAAAGCTGGTAATGGCAAAA